TATTGGGGGAAACTGGCTTCAGTAACAAGGGTGGGGATAATGTACCTAGTATTGGGGGATACTGGCTCTAGTAACTGGACCAGACTGAGATAATGTACCTAGTATAGGGGGATACTGGCTCTAATAACTGGACCAGGCTGGGATAATATACCTAGTATAGGGGGAGACTGGCTCTAGTAACTGGACCAGACTGAGATAGCATAATGTACCCAGTATTGGGGGAAACTGGCTTCAGTAACAAGGGTGGGAATAATATACCTAGTATAGGGGGATACTGGCTCTAATAACTGGACCAGGCTGGGTCAATATACCTAGTATATTGAATACTGGCTCTAATAACTGGACCAGGCTGGGATAATATACCTAGTATAGGGGGATACTGGCTCTAGTAACTGGACCAGATTGAGATAATGTACCTAGTATAGGGGGATACTGGTTCTAGTAACTGGACCAGACTGAGATAATATATCTAGTATAGGGGGGTACTGGCTCTAGTAACTGGACCAGGCTGGAATAATGTACCTAGTATATGGGGATACTGGCTCTAGTAACTGGACCATACTGGCATAATATACCTAGTATAGGGGGATACTAGCTCTAGTAACTGGACCAGGCTAGGATAATGTGCCTAGTATTGGGGGATACTGGCTCTTGTAACTGGACCAGGGCGGGACAATGTACCTAGTATAGGGGATACTGGCTCTAGTAACTGAACCAGGCTGAGATAATATACCTAGAATAGGGGATACTGGCTCTAGTAACTTGACCAGGCTGGGATAATGTACCTAGTGTAGGGGATATTGGCTCTAGTAACTGGACCAGGCTGAGATAATATACCTAGTATAGGGGATACTGGCTCTAGTAACTGGACCAGGCTGGGATAATGTACTTAGTATAGGGGGATTATGGCTCTAATAACTGGACCAGGCTGGGATAATGTACCTAGTATAGGGGGATTATGGCTCTAGTAACTGGACCAGGCCTAAGATAATGTATCCAGAATAGGGAGATACTGGACCAGACCGGAATAACGCATGGTATGGGTAAGATATTGGCCCTAGTAACGGATTTGTGATACTGTCCTTCCTATTGTGGAGATAGTGGCTCCAACATCTGGTATAGAGGTAGGACACCTGTCCTCGCAAATGTTGGGGTATATATCTGTTTTGTTTTGGTGTGATATTTGAGTGTGTGTGGGGAGGGTTCTGGCCTTTACAATGGGTCAAGGAATAGTGTTACAGAGGGGATATTGGCCCTTTATTTGGCCATTAGATAATCCTTAAACCTTCAGCCCTAATCACATAACCCCTAGCCATAACCACATTACTACAATCACTATAATTACATCACTGCAGCCTTTCCTATAAACATGTTATGCACAGCCCCAGTCACACTAACGCATAATCTCATACCCCTAGCCATAACCATATTACCCCAATCACTATAATTACATCACTCCCAGCTCTCCCCCTAAACCTATCATCCACAGCCACATTCACATCAACCCCAACCCTATAGTGCAAAGATCCTTGTCTACCCCATACCTAATGATCTTGTAGTGGCAGTTTTCAAGGTCTTCCCTTCAATGGATTTAAGCCAGAGCAGATCTAGAGAGGTGTGGTTATGACATCATCTGCCACTCACTACCTAACTACTCCCCTGCTCACACAGAAGGGAGTAGTGACAGACTGTGTGCCGCAAAATGCACCCATCCTGCCTGTCACTGCTCGTCCAAAGTACAACCAATAGAGAAAGTGACTACTAGTTACTGTGCACAGACTGGAACACCACTACCAACTTGGATTTATGAATGGATTTGGTAGGGGCCATACACAGCACTATATTTAGCGCGAGGCTGACAAGGCATTTGCCTTGGGCGGCACTTTCAGGGGTGGCAAAAAAGCCTCAGGCCCCTAAGATGCTAGCATCTACCTAATGTAGGAGGCAGGCAGTGAGGGAGCGCTCTCCGTTGAGATGCTGGAGCCGGAATATGAAGTCACTCTGGCCCCGTTATCACTGTGAGGGGTGCAAGGGAGTTGAGCAGGGAGATCACAGCTCCCTCGCCACCTAAATTGACCGCACGTCTGTCCTTCTGGCAATTAAAGGAACCTCACTGGACCCCAAGGAAATATAGAATCCACTACAGCAAAGGTATGTAGGCTGGGTGGATTGAAATGTTAAAAAAAATGTAATTGTTAGTGTGTGTGTGTGTGTGTGTGTTTGTTAGTGAGTGTGATAGTGTGTCTGTTGGTGAGTGTGTTAGTGTGTCTGCTAGTGAGAGTGTGTGTCAGTGAGTATGTTAGTGTGTGTGTGTGTCTGTTGGTGAGTGTGTTAGTGAGAGTGTGTGTCATTAAGTGTGTCTGTTTGTCAGTGAATGTGTCTGTTACAGAGTGTGCGTCTGTCAGTGTGTGTATGCACAGAGTGTGTATCTGTTAATGAATGTGTGTGTCTGACACTGAATGTATATGTGTCTGTCAGTTAGTGTGTATGTGTGTTTGTCAGTGTGTGTCTGTCAGTGAGTTTAGGTGTGTCGCAGTGTGTGTGTGTCTGATACTGAGTGAGTGTGCGTCTGTCAGTAAGTGTGTATGTGTATCTGTCAGTGAATGTGTGTGTCAGTTAGCGTGTATGTGTGTCTTATTTTAGTGCTGAAGTGTTTTATTAAAAAACTTGTATTTTAAATCAAGTGTTCATTTAAATAAATCTATCAAAAAATGTTTTTAAAATCAATGCTCTAGAACAGGGCATAGCACCCTCTGGATGGTGACCCCCTCCCCCTCCACTAACAGATATACAGAATTACACATTCTGATACATAGAATGACACTCATGCAGATACAACCACTGACATATGCAAATCCACAGACACACAGGTACATGTATAGACACACAAATACATATACACACAGATAATATATACAGAGATACACACGCACAGGTAGACAGACATACAGATACATACACAAACACACATACACACAGACAGACATGTACATACAGTGGCGTACACATGACCCATGGGGCCCCGGTGCGAAAATTGATCCGTGGGCCCCCCCGTGCGCGCGGGCCGGGCCGCAATATATGGCGGTGGGCACCTGGTCGCAGGGGTTACAGGGCTGCGACCCCTGCGACCGCGGTATGTACGCCAGTGCATGCAGATGCACACACACTTAAAGGACCACTACAGACACCCAGATCACATCAGCTCGATGAAGTTGTCTGGGTGTCAGGTCCCTCTAGTTTTAACCCTGCAGCTGAAAACATAGCAGTTTCAGAGAAACTGCTATGTTTCACTGAGGGTTAATCCAGCCTCTAGTGGCTGTCTCACTGACAACCGCTACAGGAGCACACTGAACGTCCATAGGAAAGCATTGAGTAATGCTTTCCTATGGGCGGTTTGAATGCGTGCGCTGTCGCATTCGGAGCTGAGAGGCTGAGGGATCCCCAGCGCCAAGAGAGTCCGGCGCTGGAGAAAGGTAAGTGCTGAAGACACACACACTCTCACTTACAGACGCATACACACTAGCTAACAGACACACACATTTACTGACAGAGACACACTCAGCGACAGACATACATACACACTCACTTACAAAACATACACTCTCATTGACAAACACACACTAACAGACATCAAACAGACTCACTAACACACACACACACAGTAAGACACACACAGTAACACTCACTGACAATCACTAGCAGACACACACTAACACTCACTCTAACACTCAATCTAACACTCAATCTAACACTCACACTCAATCTAACACACACTCTAACACTCACACACACACACACTCTAACACTCACACACACACACTCTAACACTCTCACACACACTCACACACACTCTAACACACACACACACACACTCTAACACACACACTCTAACACTCACACACACTCACTCTAACACACACACACACACACTCTAACACTCACACACACACTCACACACACTCTAACACTCACACACACACACACTCACTCTAACACACACACTCACACACACTAACACTCACACGTTTTTTTTTTTAATTTAATCCCCCCAGCCTCCTTACCTTTTGGAGTGCTGGGGGGATTCCCTGGGGTCCAGTGGTGCTGCTGACCCCAGCTGGCGGGTGGCCGGTCGGGCAGACAGGCGGGCGCGCGAGGGAACACTCAGTGCTTCCTCTTCAGCTCCCTCGCGCGCCGCGTAGGGATGCCGGCGCCGAAGATGACGTCATCTTCCGGCTCTGGCATCAGTGCGGTGCGCGAGGGAGCTGAAGAGGAAGCACTGAGTGCTCCCTCGCGCGCCCGCCTGCCTGCCCGACTGGCCACCCGCCAGCTGGGGTCAGCAGGGCCAGCCTCGGGGGGCCCTGGCGTGGTCGGCTCCTGGGCCCCCCAGGAGAAGAGGCTGGCCCTGTGGCTACATACCGGGTCGCAGGGGCGGCCGGGCCCCCTGGTGGGCCGGGCCCGGTCGCAACCGCGACCCCTGCGACCCTGGTGTGTACGCCACTGTGTACATATGTAAAGTGTACAATTTAAGCCACCTTTCTGTTTCCTACCTTTTAGTTGCGTGATTGTGACTTCTGTGTGGTCCATTAGGCTGTGTGGTCCATGAAGCTGTTGGCATTCGGAGTGTCTCCCACTCTGTTACCGTCCTCTCATTCTCCCTCCAGCACAGCCTGTTGATAGCTGGGAGGAAGTCACTTCCTCCCAGCACTGATATCACAGGGGCCCAGTCACACTATAAAGGGCTGCAGCCCTGACGGGGCCCCTGAGGATACAATACCATTGGGTGGCCTTCTAAGCATGCGGGCTCAAGGGGTAGCTGCTTTAGGCCCCCCTAGAGTGAATTTACTCAGCATAAAAGACAGCCCTGTCTGTACTCAGATTACAATATGTCTGCTTCATTTCG